GGCAGAGTGGTGTCGGTGCGTAGAAACAGCGACGGGTCAGCAGTAGAAGGAGCAAACCCAAGAGCAGCAAGAGTCGTCCTCAGTGTGTCGTGCCACTCACGGGGTGCCTGGCGGAGACCGTAGACTGGCCGCCAGAGGCTCCACTGGGTACCAGGAGGGAACGACCCAGTGAAGCCAGGTGGGCGGCGCAGCCAGATCTCCTCGTGCTGGCTGCCCTGTAGGAAAGCAGTGCTGAAGTCAAGAGAGTGGAGCTCGTAGTCACGCTGAGCGGCGACGTGCAGCAGAACCCGAAGAGTGGTCATCTTCGGGGTAGGGGAGAAGGTCTGGAAGAAGTCAACTCCCTCACGCTGACTGAAGCCTCGTGCAACGTAACGCGCCTTGAAGGCAGGCGGAGAACCCGGCGGCCGCTTCACCCTGAAAATCCACATGCCACTGACGATGTTCGCCCCAGGTGGGGGAACCTCGTCGACGTAGGTGCTTGTGGACTTCCAGGAAGCCATCTCTGCGTCCATGGCTGTTTGCCACTGAGAGGAGTACTCACCCTCCATCGCCTCTGCGTAGGAGCGTGGGGTCGGGATGTCTGGTGCATCCGGGTCTCCCTCAGGGGCAATCAGCATGGACACGAGATGACGTAAAGCAGCAGCAAAGCACTCAAACTCCTCCTGTCTGTCCTCAAGGACGTCCGTGCCAAGAGCACACTCACCCCCGACGGACGGAGGACAGACAGACTCAGACTCAGCTGAGGGGGGTGACACCGCCGCCGACGACACGGCGACCACTCGCCACACTCCTCGCTTGGAGACCCCCCCGGGTTTCCCGCCTCGGCCGTCTTCGCCGCCTCCGCAGCCTGCTGCTGTGGACTCTGGAGCTGAGACTACTGGAGCTGGGCCTGGGGGTGGTGCGTCTGGGGGTGCCCGCTCTCCTCGTTTGGCTACCCCCCCCGGGTTCCCACCTCTGCCGTCTTCGCCGCCTCTGCAGCCTTCTGGTGTGGACACTGGAGCTGAGACTGAGGGTGCAGGGACTGAGGGTGCAGGGACTGAGGGTACTGAGCCTGAGGGTGCTGGGACTGAGAGTGCTGAGACCGAGGGTCCTGACTCTGGGGGTGCTGAGACTTCAAGTGCTGACTCTGGGGGTGCTGCGACTCCGGGTGCTGACTCTGGGGGTGCTGCGAGTCCTTCTGGTGGTGGTCCCATGGGTGCTCCTACTGGAGGACCTGGAGCTACTGGTGCTGGAGGTACTGGAGGTGCTGCTGGTGCTGGACGACGTGGAGCTGCTGGTGCTGGAGGTGCTGGAGGTGCTAGAGGTGCTGGAGCTGCTGGTGCTGCTGGGGCTGGAGGTGCTGGAGGTGCTGGAGGTCCTGGAGCTGTTGCTCCTGCTGCTGGTGCTGGAGGTCCTGGAGGTGCTGCTGGTGCTAGAGGACGTGGAGCTGCTGGTGCTGGAGGTGCTGGAGCTGCTGCTGCTGCTGGTGCTGGAGGTCCTGGAGGTGCGGCTGGTGCCAAAGGACGTGGAGCTGCTGGTGCTGGAGGTGCTGGAGGTGCTAGAGGTACTGGAGCTGCTGGAGCTACTGGTGCTGCTGGGGCTGGAGGTGCTGGAGGTGCTCGAGGTGCTGGAGGTCCTGGAGGAGCTGTTGGTGCTCTTCGCCACCTTCTTAGTCTTCAGCCATGTGCTACTGACTTCCCTGTGGCAGGTACTACTCCTCCGTTGTTGTTTCCACCGACAGACCAGTCACAGCCGCCGCTGCTGCCACACTCCCCACTGCCTGCTCCTGCTCCTTACACTGCGGTGACACAGTCCCTGACTGAGCGTCGAGAGCCTGAGGCTCGTGCTTCCACCCCTGAGCGTCGAGAGCCTGAGTCTAGCTTTGACCTTGAGCCTGAGCCTAGAGCTGCTGTCCGTTCTCGTGTTCCTCGTGTTCGTCGTCCGCGTGCTCCGGCTGTCCCCGGCACTCACAATATGACACTCCGTCCTTCCTCTGTTTCCCAGCGTGTTGTCCTACCGTTACCTCCTGCGTCCTCTCTTCCTGATGTTGCTGACCCTCCGCCTGACCTTGCTCATGCGTCCAGTCCGACTGTTACTCGCTTTCTTGCTACGGTTGTGACGGACCCTACGTTCTCGTCTCCTGCTGCGTCTGCCTTAGTCGCTGAGCTAGTTGACTTTGCTGCTGTGTACTGTCTAGACTACCTTGCGAGTCTCGTTTCTGACCCTGACCCTGCCTGTCCTCCGTCCGTCGGGGGTGAGACTGCCCTTGGCTGTACGACCCTTGGCTGTGACGTCCTTGAGGACAGGCAGTTTGAGCTGGAGTGCCTTGCAGCCGCTGTACCTCATCTCGCTGCCATGCTGCTTGCCCCTGAGGGAGACTTGGATGCACCAGACATCCCCATCACCGCGCTCTTACAGAGAGGCGATCTCGGGTGAGTACTCCTCTCAGTGGCAGACAGCCATGGACACAGAGATGGCTTCCTGGAAGTCCACAGGCACCTACGTCGACGAGGTTCCCCCTCCGGGGGCGAACATCATCGATCGCATGTGGATTTTCTGGGTGAAGCCACCACCGGGTTCTCCACCTGCCTTCAAGGCACGTTACGTTGCTCGAGGTTTCAGTCAGCGTGAGGGAGTTGACTTCTTTCATACCTTCTCCCCCACCCCGAAGATGACCACTCTTCAGGTTTTGCTACACGTTGCAGTACAGCGCGACTACGAGCTGCACTTCCTCGACTTCTCGACAGCTTTCTTGCAGGGTAGCCTTCACGAGGCCATCTGGTTGCGCCGTCCACAGGGCTTCACTGGGTCGTTTCCTGAGGGTACCCAGTGGAGCCTACGGCGACCAGTGTACGGCCTGCGTCAAGCACCCCGCGAGTGGCACGACACACTGAGGACGACACTTGCGGCTCTTGGGTTTGCTCCTTCCACTGCTGACCCGTCGCTGTTTCTGCGCACTGACACCACTCTGCCGCCGTTCTACATCCTCGTGTACGTCGACGACTTGGTCTTTGCTACTGCTGCACTGAGGCACTTGTCCGCGTGAAGACGGAGCTGCAGGAAAGACACACCTGCACTGACCTGGGTGAGCTGCGGAGCTATCTTGGCTTGCAGATCACCCGGGACAGAGCACGACGCACCATCACCCTGACGCAGTCACACATGGTGCAGCAGGTCCTTGGCGTTTGTAAAAAGCCTGATGCATCAGTGTACCACTAGAAAAAAGGCTGTCACTATCGCGTCGCATGTGATGGCAACGGGGCAGGATCCTTGGCAGCCCTCCAGCACCACATGGTGGCCACGTTCGGATTGGCCAAGACTGACTGCTGCAGCGAAACGGCCCAATGGTGTGAGGCGCCGCGCCAACAAAACACCTCTGAACGTGAACCAGAGGCAGAATTTCACAGGTTGGCCTCGCCACGGGGTGCTTACACCTCGGGAATCTGATATTCCCTGTAATTGCGGTCAAATCCACATGGCACAGGTAAGAATCGCTTCAGTGTTGGTTTCGTTACAACGTTGTGGCATCAGTGTCCTAGGGGAAAAAAGTCTGAAATTTCAGTGTGGCCTAACAAAAAAGGCTGAAAGATCAGTCCCTAAAAAACTTTGATATTAATAGCAGTTAAGGCTATAAGTAAATGGACCTGGTCACGAACCAATAAGATATTCGGTTTCAAAACTTATGCATGCAATCAATCATGCCGGTCAGATAATAACATTTGTAGTATGTGATGTGAATCTACTACATAAAAAAAATCTGCACGCCATTATCTGCCTATGTACGGTACCAAGAAATAGTCACAATTTTAATTTATTTGTCACATAACTATTGTTTAAACCATTTGTGTATAACTTATCCTCAGATCTATCAGGGTGTAATACATCAATTAGGCAAACGTGTTGTCCTCATCAGGCCACGACATGTCGATCTCAGCATGAGTTGGTATTCTGACGAGGTGATGCCTGGTCGGCGAGTTCTCGAACCATCAAGCCACGACAACATCGAGAAAATACAATCTGCTCATGGAGAAGCTGTTATACTCTGTTTAATACTGTCGAGCAGTTTTGGTGCGTTCCGTCGCAACTCTGTCGGGTCTGTTGTACTTTCATGCGTGTCAACCGTGTATTCACCCACTAAGCTCAAATGCTACCTAAAGCGTATTGCAAGCACAAATTCTTACAAAAAAAAACAATTTAGACATTTGTGCTTTGAAAGTATGAAAGTGGGAAAAGTTTGTGCTTTTTTAAACTAAATTAGCTACTTTTAATATTAATGTATATAAATTATATTTGCATATATTCAGAAGTAGTCTTAGTACGTAATGGGTTTTCTTAGATAATTGTATTTTTTTCAGGTCACGAGTAGGCTCAAATGATGTTTTATTATCTTCTTATTCAGTATTTATGTGATAAATAAGAAGATTTAGTTTATGCACTTTACAGTTCATACAGAAAATCATATCTATTGGTACTAGTAAATGAGTTTTCTTGTATGGCAGTATTTGCGCTACGTTTGTTGTAAGAATATTATAATCTGTGAGCAGTTATTTGAGGCTGCTGGTGGATTCCGAGACGTTTCTTTTGTACTGCCCCTCAGGTATGCGGCATCAAAAGCAATAACCTGAGCAACGCATGGCTATCGAGTTTGAGCCATGCGGGGTCGCGAAAACCGGTTTCGAAATCCGTTGTAGCTTGTCAGACAATGTGCACCTATGCAATTTCGCCTGTTCCTACACAACCCAGCCTAAAGCGCTTTCAACGGAACGTATTTCATCAACTGCGATTCGAACTCGTAGGCGACAGAACCCCGTTTGTGCCGAGCACGCCAGCAGAGGACACAGAGAACATTTAGGCCCGCATGCGCTGCTGCGACGTTGACTTGATCATGCCTGCAGGCTGGACGTTCTCCGGCTGGTGTTAACGCCACGTGACGCAGCAGCCTCCACGCGGACAGCAGACACATTTAAAATAGTACGCCCCGCTGCCTCGCGAATTATCGACGCTGTATCATAGTAGTCACTATGGCCGTCGCCACGCGCTCCGCCGTGCTACTCTTCGACTGGAGGAGAAATGCCAATGGCACGCTCTCGCCGTCTGCCAGTGCTGGTGCTAGTACTAGTAGTAATAAGACTCGCACAACCACCAGCAAACTAGGCGGCAATGTGGTGTCAACCAGTGCCTGTCGCCGCCGCGGCGTGGAACCACCTTTGCCGCAGCCACCACCGACGCAGCGGCTGCTACTGCTGGGTTCTCAACCTCCCGATGTGCGTATCGCGTAGAGTTCTCCGAACTGTCGACTGTCTCACTCCTTGCGACTGTTGCGACTTTCTGGCCTCTCGCTTCGTCCATCAAAAGGACGTTTTTTCACGCTTGATGTGAGCTTCTTTCATCGCGCAGTATGATGTATCATAACTATTTCCCATGGTCGCGTGTAACGCATATAAGCAGCGTTGCGCTGAACGCATTTTCTTCCGCCTGCCACGCGGCGTCTTTCCCCCGTGCTTCCCGCTGCAGAAATATCGCGTTCGCGAGGTTAGACGGAGCCGCCCCACGCTCACCGTGATCCGCGGTGGGAGCTCGCTCACCATCGATCGCGGGTCCGTCCGCCTTCTCCGGAAAATGGCGCAATTCGCTGCTTCTATGCGCCTACTTCCGGCTTCTGGAGCACCTCGAGCTGCTGGGGCTGCTGGGGCTGCTGGAGCCGCGGCGGGCACGCCTGACCAACATGATGGTCGAGTCGACTTCCCCGGCGGTGAAGCCAAGAGAAGCGACGCCTTGTCGGTTGAGGATCCTACTGGGAGCCTTCCGAGTACTGGTGGTACTACTGATAGTACCACTGGTAACAATCGTGCGAGTATTCTAGTGCAGGGGTTGGAAGGGCGGTCGTGGGCGGAGAAGGCGCAGCATGCGCGCAAGCTGCTGGCGGGGCTGCTGGCGCTCTCCCGCCCGCACAACTTCCTGCCCTCCGTGCTCCTCGTGCTCCTCGGCGCGTTCCTCGGCGCCTCATCTACAGGCAGTGGCACCGCGGCCATGACTGCTGCCACAGCCAACATCAGCGCTACAGCTGCTGCTGCTGCTACAACCGTTGCTGCTACAGCTGCCACCGCAGCAACTGCCGCCGCTGCAGCGAGCCTCCCCACCCTTCCGGTGTGGCTGTCCCCGCGGGTGCTGCTAGTGGCGGCGCTATCCGGCAGCATCGCCCTGGCGTCCATGGTGGTCAACGACGTGTTTGACTGGCAGATCGGGTCCGACCGAGTCAACTCGCCCGCCAAGCCACTCGTGTCAGGCGCCGTGCACCCTTATGATGTACGTGCAAGAAAAGAGAGGCGAGAGGCGCGGAGGGACGGGAGTACTACTCTTGTTCGCAGATGTCCCCGGCTATCCACCCTTCCCCAGGCGCAGCTTGCAGCAGGCTGCCTGTACTTGCAGCGTTTCAGCTCTGCCCACACCATCAGAGGAGAGTCAACAAATCCCCCGTTTCCCGCTCATTTCCCCAATCACCTTCCTTCTAACCCACCCTTTCCTTCCCGCCTATTCATACCAGGCGGAGCTAGCAGCAGGCTGCCTCTACTCCCTCATAGTCCTTGCAGCGTGTCAACTGGAGCCCTTGCCTCTCCGCATGCTGGTGGCGGGCGCGGCGGTCGGCACATATCTCTACACTCCGTTTCTTAAAAGAATTACTTTGGTTAAGAATGTCGCAGTCGCGGGAATCATTGCCTCGTCGCTGCTTGCTGGCGCGCTTGCTGCTGGAGGTATGCTGTCCCCCCACCCTCTCCCCATTTTTTTCTCTCTCTACCTCTCTTGCATCGTTCGATATGTGAGAATTCTCCCAGGGTAACACCCTTCTGGTGGTAGTAGTGCATGCCGTTACATCCTATGGCTTGGCTCAGTGTGTCATCTGGCTAAAATGTTTCGTTCCGTGTGTCACTGGCTATTGCTGCCTCCGCCACCCTCTCCCCAGTCACTCCTTCACCCTTCACCGTTCCCTTCGCCCTCCCTTTCCCCGATTCCTTTCTCACCCCTTCCCTTCACCCCGTCCCTTTGGCCAGTGTTTTCTACGTCCCACTCTACCCTGCCCGACTTCCCTTGGTTTCCTGCCTTGCACCATCCCCCCTCCACCCCACAGCCTCTTTCTCCGCCCTCTACCGTGCGTCAGGCGCCTTCCTGTTCCTCTTCCACGCGCTGCTGTACCGAGAGGTGCTTATGGACGTCGCTGACGTCACTGGTGACGCCAGCGCTGGCGTGCCGACGCTTGCTGTGCGGCTGGGGAAGCAGAGGGCGGTGCTGGTGGCGTGTGGCATGCTGGTTCTGGCACATGCTGCAGGGGTGAGTGCTGGGGTGCTGTGACGTGATGTGATGCGATGGGTAATGCGTAATGTGATATGCTTTGATGTGCTGCAATGTGATGTGTCATGCAGTATCGTGGCAGGGCATGTGTTCTGATCTGAATGCTACATCTTGTGTGAAACGAATATGCGATGTGACTTGATATGCCAAGACGTGTACAGTACGTGCTGAACTGAATGATCAGCAATACATCATGGAGGAAAGCTTGTCATCCACACGTGTGCTTCAAATCACCTTGTCCTGCTGATACCAACCCATCCCCCCTCCACCAAGCATTTTCAGAAAAGTTCCCTAATTTAAACACCCACGCCTGCTTCCTCCAACCCATTCCACCTCAGGCTTTCCTCGCGAGGCGTTCTCCAGCCCTTGTTCTCCTTGCGTCTACCTGCCTCCTCCCTCTCTACGCACACACTCTCCCCCTCCTGTCGCTCCACAGCCACACATGTGACTCTGTACTTTCTCCCCTGGCTCATGGCCAGCCACACACACCAAGCTCTCCATCTCCGTCGACATTCTTACGCAATGACATCCAAGACCGTCAGACCAAAGAGAATTCAATGTTACTGACTGAAATCGACCATTCATCAGGTTTCGAAGTCCGTGCGAGTGTGCTGGAGAGTGCGCAGGTGGGTGAGATGGAGGCATCTGAGAGGATGAAAGAGCTCGAAGACATTGAGCAGAAGAAATTGAGCCGCTTGATTGACATGTCTATGGTTTTCATTGGTGCTGCCCTTCTGGCCTTCTCAGCTGCTACAGTAGGCTTTGGAACTATCCTTGCATGATGATGGGATGGGACCACAAGAGCATGTACATATCTTTCTGTAGTGTACATATATTTATTTCATGCAGATTGCTCAAGGCGATGCATTAGTTTACTATTTGAGCATAGGTGATGTCTTGTACTGTTTGAGGAAACTTGAACCCTTAGATCACATACACTAGTTGCCAATACCATAATTGAGAAAGCTTGCTTTCTGTTCTTGCAAAGGCAACAGGCTTCATTACAATTGGGCAACAGGCTTCATTACAATTGCAGTGTTACAGCATTCTCGTCCAACTATGTTATAGAAATTGTCAAATTATATATATATATGTTTAGGTTATCTAGGCTGTATGGTGGTTAGCACTAGGGGGTACAGAAACTCTCTCAACACTTCACTCTTGTACCCCAACCTTGACCTAATCTGACCATTCCCCCTTGCCTTAGTCTTAACATGGTATCTAGAGCAGGAGGTCTCTAGGACCTAAGAATCGGGCCCACCTAACTGTTTTACCACGTGCCTGCCTTGCCTACTGCCCGCGCGCGCCTCGGCTGCAGCGCGCGTCACTTTTTTATTCCGCGCGCGCCTCGGTTTCTAGCGCGCGCATCACTGATTTAGCGCGCGCGTCACTGCTTTTAGCGCGCGTAGAGCCCGCGCAGCCCGAGTAGAGCCCGCGCAGCCTGCCGCCGCACGCAGCCCGCAGCCGCGCGTGCAGCCCGTCGCCACGCGCAGCCACGAACAGCGCGCAGCCCGTCGCCGCGCGCAATTAGGGGCCGCGCGTAGCTCGTCGCCACGCGCAGCCAGCAGCCGCGCGCAGCCCTCACTCGCACGCAGCCAGCAGCCGCGCGTGCCCTGCCCGTGTGCCTGAATGCGCGGCCCGCTGCTGCCAAGCCCGCTGCCTTAGAAAACGTGCGGCCTGCTGCTGTCTAGTGCGCCTCCTTCGGAGCTTGAGCTACTGCCTGTGTTGACTGCTGCCTACTGCCTTTGTCTTAGCCTGCGGTCTACTGCCTGCTGCCTCCTGTCTACTGCCTATAGTCTCTGGCTTTGCCTGCGGCCTGCTGTCTACTGCCTACTGCCTGCTGCCTTTGCCTGCTGCCGTTATGACGACGCCTAATGTTCTCGCGTTCGAGCCTGACGGTCGCCCCATAGAGTTCGCTGTGTGGCTTGACGACCTGCAACTGTTCCTTCTGACTGATGCCAAAGAGGGCGTTTCACTGTTCGATTACGTGTCTGGCACTGCCGTTGCTCCTGCTACCGATGCTCCTGCTCTCGAACGCTCACAGTGGCAGACTCGCGATGCTGCTGCACGCCTAGCTATTAGGAACCATCTGCCGATCACTGAGCGCGCGCATTTCAGCCAGCACAAAACTGCTAAGACGCTGTACGACGCTGTAGTTGCGCGCTACTCCTCCCCGGCCACTGCAGCCATAGGTCGGCTCATGCTACCCTACCTGTTCCCCGACCTTTCCTCGTTCACCACTGCTGAGGACCTCATCTCCCACCTGCGTGCTACTGACACTCGCTTTCGTGCCGCCCTCTCAGCCGAGTTCTGCGCCGCAACCCCCCCCCCCCCCCCCCCCCCGATGTACTTCACTCTCTATTTCCTCGTTATGCGCCTCCCTGACACTCTTAGCTCGGTCAGGGACCACTTCCTAGCGCTAGACCCCCCCACTCTCACTGTCGACGACTTCGAGAAGCACCTCCTAGCAGCAGAGAAGAACATCCTCGCTGTAGGTGCTGCTCGTGGCACTCCTCGCTCTCCCCTCTTAGAGGGGTGCTCCCCCTCCCCTCTCACCCCCTCCTACGCCTCCGCAGCTGCTGCTCACGACTACCTTGGTGCTGAGGAGGTCGGGGCTGCTTCCGCTCCTAGTGGGAAGCGTCGCAGCAGCAGGGGCGGCAAGGGTGGCAGGGGCGGTGGGGGTGGCGGTGGAGGTGGCGGAGGCGGTCGTGGGGGTGGTGGAGGTGGTGGTGGGGGCAGCGGAGGCACTGGGAGTGGTGGAGGTGGCAGCAGCGGCAGTGGGGGAGGAGGGAGCGGTGGTGGAGGTGGTGGTCAGGGCCAGCAGCAGTCGCAGCAGCAGCGTCAGCGCCAGACCCCCACTTCCCAGCAGCTTCTTGACTGGTATGCCGGGCGTGGGGCTTCTGGGGGTCCTGGTCGCTGCCCCTATATGATTCGCACAGGTCCCCGCACTGGTCGCCAGTGCACAGGGTTTCACACTGAGCAGCGCTGCTTCGCTCGGCTTAGCGACGCCTGGCGCGCCAAGTTTCCTGATGCTACTGAGTTCCCCAACTGCGCAGACCTGCTTAGGCGTGATGTACCTATCTTTGATCTTGACTATGAGGCTATTCTTGCTGCCATGTATGCATTGACTGTTAGTGCTGAGGGTGACTGCTACTTGTGTGTGCCGCCTGACCCAGGTATAGCCCCAGGTATAGCGCCTGTGGCACTAGGTGCTTGTGAGTCTGCTCCCCCTGGTACTGCGTCTGCACAGGCCTTGCACACCTTCACACTTGACTCTGGTGCTTCCCGCTGCTTCTTTCGCGACAGCACCACAGTCACTCCCCTCCCTGCACCTGTTCCTGTCTCGCTGGCTGACCCCTCTGGGGGCCCAGTGCTTGCACGGTCTTCCATTGTGCTTCCGTTTCCGGCGGTCCCGTCTGGTGAGCTGTCTGGTCTCCACCTCCCCTCGTTTTCTACGAACTTGGTGAGCAACGCCGTCCTTCAGGATCACTAGGTTGACACCTTTACTCCTGGAGGATAGCGTGTGGCGATCTGCACGTGCTCCCGGACCGGCCGTCACCTGGCCACGTTCACACGTGCGCCTGGGTCTAGTCTGTACACCCTCACCACTGCGTCACGCTACACCCCTTTGTCTCCCCAGCTGTACGCGTCTGCTCAGGTAGCTACTCAGTGTGAGTGTCGCCGCCTGTCGCACGACACTCTTCTGTGGCACCACCGCCTTGGTCACCCCTCCCTGCCTCGCCTTCGTAGCATGCACTCTCGCTACCTGGTCTCTGGCCTTCCTGAGTCTCTGCCTGCCCTCCCTCCCTCGCCTGCGCCGCCCTGCATTCCTTGCATCGAGGGGCGGCAGCGCGCCGCTCCTCACTCTTCCTCGTTTCCTCCCACAGAGGCTCCCCTGCAGACCCTCCACATGGACGTGTGGGGCCCAGCCCGCGTCCGTGGACAGAGCCACGAGCGGTACTTCCTGCTGGTCGTCGACGACTACACGCGTTACACCACGGTCTTCCCCTTGCGCAGCAAGGGGGAGGTCCCTGATGTTTTGATCCCCTGGATCCGCGCTGTTCGTCTCCAGCTCCGCGAGCGGTTCCAGTCGGACTTTCCTGTCCTGCGTCTGCACTCTGACAGAGGTGGTGAGTTCTCCTCAGACCTCTTGGCAGCCTTCTGTGCGGAGCACGGCATCCGCCAGACGTTCACGCTTCCGGCCTCTCCGCAGCAGAATGGGGTTGCTGAGCGCCGCATTGGCTTAGTCATGGAGGTCGCTCGTACCTCCATGATCCATGCGGCTGCCCCCCATTTTCTGTGGCCGTTTGCGGTCCGGTACGCCGCGCATCAGCTCAACCTCTGGCCCCGTGTCTCCTTGCCGGAGACCTCGCCCACACTGCTGTGGACGGGGAAGGTTGGCGATGCGTCGCGTTTCCGGGTCTGGGGTGCTCGTGCCTTTGTCCGCGATACCACCGCGGACAAACTCTCCGCTCGCGCCATTCCCTGCGTCTTCCTTGGCTTTGTCCCTGACGCGCCTGGCTGGCAGTTTTACGACCCAGCCTCGCGCCGTGTCTTTCCGTCTCAGGACGTCACCTTTGACGAGTCCGTCCCCTTTTACCGTCTCTTTCCCTACCGCACTGCCCCTCGCCCCCCCCCGCCGCTCTTTCTTGCCCCAGGTCCTCCCCAGGTAGACCCCCTCCCCGCGCCAGGTCCTGCTCCTTCAGGTGTTTCTCAGGTAGACCCTCCCGTGCCTGCGCCTGTTGAGGTCACTGGTGACTCACGTCCTACTGGGGGTGGTGCTGTCTTTGGGGATGCTGAGCCTGGGGGTGCGGAGCTTGAGGGTGCTGAGACTGGGGGTGCGGAGCTTGGGGGTGCTGGGCCTGGGGGTGCGGAGCTTGAGGGTGCTGAGCCGGGGGGTGCGGAGTCTCGGGGTGCTGAGCCTGAGCGTGAGGAGCCTGGAGGTCCTGAGCCTGGGGGTGCTGAGTCTGGGGGTGCGACGCCTGAGGGTTCTGAGTCTG